CCCCCCCCCCCTTATGCAGCTTCACTAAAGCTGCAAAAAATCTTTTTGCACTGGAGTAATTCGCTTTCATTTTTTGGTACATCAAAAGACAAACCGTAACTGGTAAGGTAACGATCCAGGCATGAAAGCTATTTCCTTCTTGCTAACGAACAGTAGCTTGAATACGACTGTGACTTTTTAAGACCAATTACTAAAGCACTAGGAATATAATACTGGGGAGGGACAAGTAACTAATTTACGCTCACCTGTAAAGAAAAAATCTAATCTTACGATGTGAAAGTCGTGTCATGCTCTACAGATCATGATAGTGGTCAAGAGCGCCTTTTTTAGGCTACTAGGTGGGGTTCGTGACACTGAGGCACAAAATACTCAGAAGGACATATATACATTTATTTATTTATATGTATACTTACACTTATTTATACCCAATTTATGTGAAGAGGAATCAAACAGTCACTGAAAGGACCCATTCTATAAAAAGCCGCTTTTAAAGAAAAACAAAAAATAAGTTTTTCCCCAACAATTCTGTATATACAGAATTAAGGCTAGAAAAAAAGAAATTTTTTTACGAAAAAGTTATTACTTGAATTAGAACAATTTTCCTTCAAGAAGCATAAAGTTTCTGGAAGAATTTTTTAGACATTATCTTACGTCTTAAGTTTTCCTTGACACCTTCATTTCCTTTTCCAGTCTTCCAAAAACCGCTACAAAAAACCTTACATCTTTCAAGCCGTCTGTGTTTCACAAATGCAAAATATACCTTACAAAATACAATCTTGTTGTTTTAAAGCACTTGGATGACAAGTTATTTCAATTAGAACGATAACTACCTCAAAAAAATTATTTTTTCCTATTTTACACTAGCCACTGTATATGAGCAATTTCACCTCAATTTATACACTTTTTCAAGTCGACATCTCAGGATTTTTATTTTTTGACAAATTGTAAAACTTGCAGTCCAACTGCAAAATCAAAATTTCTTCAGAAAGCGTGCTGGCTGTAAAGTTAGACTGCTCTAATACTGCACAAGTTTTTGTTAAGAATGGTAATCTTTGGGAACTTGTAGTTTTTATTTATTCACGAAAGGTTTCTGAAATTTTTATTTGGTTTTAAAAGTATGCCTTCTCCGTAACTAGAAAAGCAATGGAATGTTTATATTAACGTACTGTGTAAAAAAGCAGATTATAAACAGGAACTGAACGTGCTTTTTTTTTTAAAAAACTTGCCTTTTTTATTTTCTAGAAAAGGTGTACTTTTAAAGATAATTTCTGAACAAAATACTAGAACTACAAAGTGGCACTTTCAATGAAGTCACGAATTACGATGCATTCAGTGAGAATAAACTGCAAAAAAAAAAAAAAAAAAAAAACGCCAAGTCACGGAGCACTTTGCAGCCTCTGCAACAGACAATGGTTTCTACCGAACCACTGTTGTAAATAAAACGTGTTTTAGATTGAAAACTTCGGTAACAGAAATTTGGTCATAAATTATTGGCTGTTGAGTCATTCAAATAAAATAAAAAAACTGCTATTATAGCTACTTTTTCGTTCTGTATCGCTCTGTTTCCTTATAAAATCGTTCAACTTGAATACCGAAACTCAATTTTGAGTACTGACAGCGAATTTTGTTTTGCTGTCATCTTTCCAGCAGCGCATTAATTTGCAACTTTTGCTGAAGATTTGGCAGTAGAGGCTCGTGAGACTAACCAGGAATACTATCCAAAAAAGACCAAAGCTACAACTCATTCATGCCTTTCTAGCCTTTCTTTCACTATTTATTATTTTTCCACTACTATTTTTAAATTTTCTCTTACTATTTGGCAAATGAGGTTTTTTCAAATTAGCACTTTAAGACAGCGTATCTTCTTCGTAATGGTCGTGACCCTATATTTTTTTCACACATTCTATAACCCTTAACTACGTAGAATCCTACATAAGAAAAGTGACAGCTGTTTCCTCGTAACTAACTGAGTTATTAAAGTATATATATAGGTACTCACCAACGCTGAGTGCTTAAAAATGAAATCAAGCTGAATAAGAGCAGAAAGCAATTGCTCGCCAATTAAACCAGTATAAAAGGGAGAAAAACAACTTTTAGTTACAAGGTCGGTACCATAAATGACGCTAGTATGCTGGCATTAAACGAACGACAACCCAGCTCTACTGTATCAGATCAAGGAAGCCTGTTAAGACCATTACCATCGTAATGCAGTTGTGCTGCCAATACTACAAATATCTATTTGCATCTTACGAAAGAACTACAAAATCATGACTACATACTGCTACACCACACTCCGGTTCCCGAGTCAGCGGCTCCGGCAGTAAGCAAAATTTGAGTATTCTTTTTTGGCGGGAAAGCAATGGTTTTGAATGTGGCGCGAACCTTTGATTTTTAAACATTTGCCTGTAACCGCACAGACAGCTTCTGCTGCAAACGACATGGGAGGTGTGTGGTTGTAACAGCGAATAGATTCTGTACTGTCCGGTGTAATCTTTAGTTTTGTTCCATTTTAAACAGTTCTTTTGACATCCTGTTGGTGCTTCTCTTCTTTATCTTTAAAGTGAACTGGGGGAAAATACCGTTGGATTAATTCACACTTTTTTGGTTTGATTAAATAAGTGGTAGTATAGTCGTTTTGTTTTTGTAATGATGTATTTCCGCCAGTTGCGTAATGTGTAACTCTAGAATTTGTCTCTTCAATTTCAGTCTGTGAACAACACTACGCTAACAAAAAATTTCTTAGGACTGTAATTCTGAAAGGTGGTTTTCAGATTACTAATTGTTATGATGGATGAGTGCGTTGAAAATAATCGGGGAAAGGAATTTTCTGCGCCTGGGAAAGCAGACTGTGAGAATCATCAAGACGGCAGCGAAGTGAAGCCTTCTGATAAGGTGGTGTGTGCAGTTAGGACCGCTGTTTTGTACTTTATTTCTCAAATCACTTTCTAGGCTTTTTTGAAGTGTACTTTCGTCCTTGAAAAGATTTTCCAGCGTTGTTGCAATTAAGAAGGCCCACTCGCAGAACACTTTTTGATCGTCATCCTAAGTTTATTTTTTGTATGCGGGATTCCTGGCGGCACCTAATTCATTTTTGATAGTTTCAGATTTATCTGTTTAGCTTTTGCTAACTTCGCAACGGTTTAATGCTAAAGCATTCCATTAATTCTCTTGCCGTTTTATAACACTGCTTTTGTGCTAGGGAATGGTGCAATGGATAATGAAGGCACTTTGTGACGGCGGTCTTAGGAATTTGGGGAATTCAAATCGATCTTCATAACGATTCCTCTACTGAAAGCGCGCATATTTCTTGACTGTTCTCTAATTTGCTCAAAGATACCTGTTTAAATTGTACATAGAACTCGACAATCGGCTTGAAATGAGTTTTGTGTCCTAAAACAGTTCGCTTTTACCAGTTTATAAGTCTCTCTAGCTGCTTCTCAGTGTAATGGAAACCAAAAATCCTAAAAGCTACATTCTGTCCCAAATCTTCATTTCAGCAACTTTTTGTTTCCTGCCGTCTCACTTTGGCTATACTGCACCTTTCGTAATCCGTAGTCATCTCTCTTTATTTTTGTCGGGAATTCCTTTCCAAAGATATCTTTTTCACCTTTCGACCACTTCTTGAAATTTGAAAGCAGCGAGAGAGGTTTATAAGATGATAAAGGCAAATGCCTCTAAAAAATAAACTCGGTTAATTTCACTTGCCCAGTTTAGGTACTCAACTAAAACTGCGATTAAACAGGAATTTTGGACGGACTAGAAAACGGTCAAGAAATTTGAGGTTCGTGAAGAGAAGTTGCTCGGGAGGCGACATCGAATCCCCGAACTCCAGATCCCTAGAGTCTCAGTTAAAAAACGAGCGCAGTTTCAGCTACATTACCTGCTGTCGTGAGTGCAATACTGTCTAATAGCAAAAGGAGTGAGGCGAAATTTCAAGATTAGACCGTCATAAAGTTAGTAAAAACTAACTGAATCCGAAGCTATCAAAGATGAATTAGGCGGCGTCGAGAATCCTACATAAGGAAAATGAAGTTAAGTTGAAGGTGAAAGAAAGTTTGTTTGGGGGTAGATGCGCATATTTAATTGCAGTAACGCCGTCTTAAACTTATATTTTGTTGAGTCTTTTAATCTCCTGAAAACTTTAGGAACATCCCTGCACACCAGCTATCGTTCGCACACGACAATCGAAAAAGGATTTTCAGGCAACTTTGCTTGTTTATTGCGTTTTTTCCCGTAATATATGACGGTAGTCACTTCCCATAGGGAGTAACACACTTGGCTGCTTATTTTAAATAATTTCTTTAATTTTCTGATCTGACTCGTTCCTCATATCTTTCACATCTTAACAATGATTAGATTTCTTTTTAGTTTTAAAAACACACAATTCTCTATTAGTAGAAGTGTTTTCATTATTTTCTTCAAATTTTTTTTGCACAGTTTATAAATATAATGTTAAGGTGTCTTCGCCAAGTGACGCGATAATGTCTCCGTGTACTCAACGCTTATTCGGCAAGTCGCGCTTGAAGAATGCGCATGGAATTCATCCAGGAGCTTTATTAAAAGAAAAACAGCGAAATGCTGTTGCGAGTGCAGACCAAGACCGGTTGTCAAAATGAACATTTTCAGTTGCGCTGAGTAACCATCATTGCTTATGCTTTTAGCAGTTATGGTTGTTTTAGTTTCGTCTCATATTACTTGTACAAAGCATCTTATATTAACTATGGTAGTTACTATTGCAGAATAGTGTTATTCTTGGCGCTTGTTTTACTTCTCATTCTATGGGCTTTTTAAAAGTAAGAGATACACTTTTTGGATTAACATACTGTACTTGTGCATATTTATTTTAGTTCGACTTGTGTGTAAAGGAGGTCATACTGTAAGTCGCACTGCGTTCAGGAATTTCTTTGTATTAGTGTCAGTACAGATACCTCCTGTATGCAATGAAGAAATTCTAGAAAGCTTTCTTTTTGCAGTAGTCTGGGTTGGGCGACTTGCAGAAAGGCGCTAAATTTCCAAGAACTTCTACATTTGTAGCTACGCTTCTCAACGACTGATAAGGCAATTCCAAATGCATGAAAAAATCTTAGAGAATTACAGGTGTTAAAATTGGATGCAATAAATGCAAGCCATTTTGGATGCTTATAATGGTCTTGATGAACTTCTGAGAGCTTTCAGTAGTGGTCAAAAACTTTTAAAGATTTTAGTGGAAATACATAGTAAAGACAATAATATACGGGCACGGAACAGTACCAACCCCTCCAGTCTTTACTTTGCCATTTGATGCGATCACCAGTTCAGTTCTGTAGGACTTTCTAAACAGAAACCTTTGTTATCGAGCACGGTCCGACCAACTTCCAGCATTGCAGGCGTCATTTGTATCAGGCCAAAAACTAAAATTAAAAACTGTGAGGCATCTGGCACTAAAGAGTTAATGTCACTTGATTCATTTTAAAAAGTTTCCTTACATTTGCTAAGCATTTGTAATTCTGTCTTCGCTCTGTAAGCAGCAAACTCACAATATGAAGTGGTCCACGCTACCTAAAACTCATTAAATTCCAAAATTCCTGGATGACCAGACTTATTAATGTCCAGTAAGCAGCAAATAAAATGTCAAGTGGGAGAGACAGTGATGAAACTGTAGAACTGGCTAAAGACGAGGTTCAATATTTTGCTCCTCATCTTCATTTCAGAAGAAACGGGTATAAAAAACCTTGTACCTCAATGTCGGAGTTCCTGAGGCCAATGCAGTAGGAACGGCTGGCTCTAGCTATAGTGGCCATCATCGCTAAATTTATTTCTATAACGTTTGCGATGCTAGTTAAGGTGAAGAAGTCTCTGGTGACGGTCTTTCCTTCCCTACGAACGATGGCCCCTATCACGCCGTTCAGACGGCTCATAGTGTACTCCAAGTCTTCACACGGCTGCTAAAAGATGTTTATGTAGTCCCTTACTATAAGTTTTTGCTATGAGGATTACCTGGAGAAGAAAATAAATACTTGTAATGAGGGGTGTGCGTGTTCAGCAATATAATGCTTCAGTTTGGGGTTTTCTCTGTAACGCCATTCAACACCGAACATGGAACCAAATAAACCTGCGGCACCTGATCTAATTTTCCTACAATTGTTTTGCGGTTAATAACACCCTTACAGTAGGCAGTGACATACAAGAAACTAGTGTTGCAAGTTAAAGCCACATTTAGTCATTACGATACAGCGAGAAATAAGTTCTGCCAAATGATTAACTGCAGATTGCAATGTTTCAATAGCTGCTTTTGCATTAAGCAATATTTTTAAACGCAAACGTACTGAAGACTTGTGGCGTTTGTATTGGCCCATGACGTAATTACGTTCATGGCAATTAAATCTGTCACGTTAGTTCGCGAATTACCAAGAGAAGCTACAGTAAGAAGATCCCTCAGTATTTTCTCATATTCAAACTGGCATTCGCAAGAATTTATGCCAACAACTTCAATTATAGCAATGGCTGCCTCACGAAGAACTCGATTTGCAAAATTCTGAAGAGATTAAATGACCGGAAGAAGAGTGCCGTTCAGATGAAAATAAACTTGAACTTCCGAGTACTGAATATAAACAGTAAAAAAATTCATAAAGGGCCCATCTTCGTGTTCAATTAGTTTTCTTGAAAATCAGGCAAAAAACTAAAAAAGCAAGAAAAAAGAAGGGCCTTGTACATGTACAACAGCATTTTCGACATCAACAGTTAAAATCAGCTCCTCATCTTGCATACCGCCAATATAGTACGCCATTGACTCCAAAACGAACGTATTTAAAGCTAGGTCCGTCATAATCCTCTAAAACATGGCAGAAAGCTTTCGAGTAGGTTTTGCACAAATCATCTCAGGTAATGAAAATACGCAATAACTGTTGATTTAAAAAGTCCAATCAAACAGCAAATCAAAAAACGCTAACCTGGATTCCTTTATTCTCCGCAAGTCTCATACTATTTTGTACAGTACTGTTGCAGAAATGCGCAAGTTTACCTGAAAGTAAAGGTCAAAACACAAAAAACACAATTTCCCTAACAGATAAAACTTTGCAAAATAGATGTGGATAATTTGTAGGTAGAAATAATAAATGTTTAGAAATCAATGAATTATTAAAAGGAGGCTAAAGGAGAATATGCCAATGAAAAGCTCTTTACCAATAAGGCTTCTCATAAATCCTGTTACAGCCGCAGCATATGTGATGTTTTTAGCAGCCATGACCTCGCCCATAATGTCTAACCCGTCACTAATAGTACCAAGTCTGTCATCCTTAGTGACAGGAACATCTCGAAAACATACTTCACTAACTGCAAAGTATAAAAAGTTACTCATCTTCCCGATTTATCTACAAAATGTTGTCTGGTTAGGAAGTTGAATAATGAACTGAACGTCCTCGCAGGGTTAAAAACAAGACGAAACTAGTAATTGTCCTAAAAAATAGACCAAATTAAATTACCCTCAAGAGAGTCCAAACCTATTTTATTAATAACTGACGAAATAACGATAGAATTTTTGGGCACAGCAGTGCAGTCCACCAAGTAGCACGCAATTTTATCCTGTAAAGCACAGATGTCGCTAGATAAAGATTAGGAAGGAATTAAGCTGCCAGCCTCAAGTAGCAGAAGACACTGTAAAAAGCAGAAAGCTACTCAACTGCCATAGGCGTGTGTACGGTTGGTGTATTTTAGAGGATAAGAGGTAAAATTTGAAAGCGATGACTCTAAGTTTTTAAGAATTCAATGAAAAAAAAATTAAAATCTTAAATCATTCTTAAGAGGTGACAAAATTCAATATGCTCTGCTTTGCAACAAATCTTCCAATCCCAACTTCTTCCAAAATCAGTAGATCATAAAGAAAAACAACAATATTTTTGTGTTAACATCAACTGTGTAAATGCTAGGCGAAAGCAATGCATGTCATCTGTGAAATGAATTCCATGGTAATTCCCGAAAGATGCTTCTACTACAAAACTAGTTGTCCCACGTTAACTTTTTTTTCCTAAAAAATTCTGCGCTCCATCGTCACAGCCTTGGTTTTCTGGGAATTAAAAAGTGAAGAATTTTGAAAAAGTACACGAGTGTACGACGAAAATAACGCGACCCTTAATCTTCCAAAAACTAATAATTATCAATTTATAAGAGTCCTGAAAGAAAAGTCAAATATAAAATTTTAAACGCTAACATCTTCAATCTCTTTTGTCGTAATTTCCTTTCCAAAGACGAAGAAGAAATTCGCATTTGAAGGTCCAATAACGTGAGTCTTCACTCCACTTATTTTCGCACCCGACTCACCGCCAAAGATAATAGCTGTTTTCATGCTAACGAGGTCAAAGGTTCTAAAATATCAATAACCACTGGAAAATATACTTAAACTCGTCACTCAAGAACTGCTTAACAGGTAACACGTGATCTGGCATCTACATAAAAAATAAGAAACTGTAAACATACAAGTTCCCTTCTGCAATGCATATAGCTGGAAGAAGTTCACCAGAAGCTATTTTCGGCAACAGTCGATTTTTCTGTTCTTCAGAACCAAACATTTTTATTAAATCACAAGCAATCTGCAGTTGGTTGAACGATTCAAAAACGCTCCAGTTTAAACCAAGCACTTCATAAATAGCCAGAAGATCCTTCTTACACATGCCGAGACCATCTAAGAAGAATAGAGCTTGTCAACCGACGGTATAACTTGTATTACAATAATGTTTAACAAGGTTGAATGGCAAGTCCACTGCAAAAAATGTTTCATTTAACAACTTACTATAATCTTTTGGAACAATTGTAGCAAATAACTGATGCCTTTCTAACAAACTGCGATACTTTTCGCTAAAATTCTTCTTATCCGCATCAACCACTAAATTATGAATTAAATGAAAATTAAGTTACTGAAGCGTCAAAATTTTTAGTCGAGAAATATTAGATATACAAAAAAACTATGGTACATAAATCATATTGTATTTAATGTGTGAAGAACAACCCACTTGATGCCTCAAAATCCTTTCGAAGCTCAGAAACCAGTAACCTAATGTTATTAAGCTCCTCTGGGTCATTGTATTCAGGGAATACTAAAAAATCCTAAAAAAAATCCAAAGTTTCTTCAATGTAAAGCTTAAAAGCTTATACCTTTACTCGCTTCAGAAGAAAACAATGTGAAAAACAATCATCCCAACCAAATCCTCTTTCCATAAAATGACAGAGAAAATAATGGTAATTAAAACAATGAAATCTTCTGACAAACATAACAAGAACATACAACAAAATAATCGTTTTTTGTTGAAAAACTTGTTTTTAATCAACTGGGGGATAAAAAAAGCAGAAGTACATAAAAGAATCACTATTTACAAAAGCCTTTCTAGTCATACATTCTTCTATCAGTAATTCATGACAATGCCAACAAGTTTTGTTTTCGGCTTTATGAGTAAGGCGCTTTAATGCCCACCACATTTTTCTTCCCCTTTAATGTAATTATTGCTGTAGTCTTAGCATTTTTCAATAAAAACAGAAAAAACACGGGTTGAAAAAAGTAAAATCACTTTAGCCAAAGAAAAATAACACATGATATTATTGAGCAAAAACCAAACAGTGGTGAAAAAAAAATACAAATGTGTTCTCAGGAAGTCATAAAATCTACTTCAAATACAAAAAAGCGCTGTTATTCGTCTTCTTTTTTTTAATAACAAAGAATCGTTAAGCTAGAAAAGTATACCGGAGAAAAAATATTAATTGAACTCAAGAAAAAATAATAAGATATTACTTTGCAAACTGAAGTATTTGAGCATTTAATCAAAAATTTTTACCTTTTCAAATCGATTAAGCGCTAACCCTCGGCTAAGTGAATAAGATTCAACTGGTATTCTTCTTTCTCGAATAGTTTCTAACACTTTTGTAGTAGCGATAGGAGGTTTAGGAATTGCCTGCTTATCCACTTCTGTATTAGTGGTTGCATTACGTAATGTAATGATAGTTGGTTGACATGACCCGATCACACTTGGACGACAAGTCGAACATATCCGTCTAGCAATGACGATCGCATTTCGGCTCATTGCCATTCACAGATGATTCAAATGCTGCAACAAAATTTCTGATGGTAGAAACAGAATTGGTACAAATATTACATTGAAAAATAGAAAGGGAAGGATTGACGATGCTTTGGAAAGAACAAAAGACC